CCCCCCCCCCCCCCCCCGCACACACATATTATACAGGTGCAACAGTGTGCACCATGCACTTTGTTTTAGTAAACTGTATGGACTATTTAACATGTAGTTGGTTGTGTTCTGTTTTTTGTTTTTACTTTTCAAGATGCATTTACTTGAAAAAAGGGTCTGCATGACATCCTGACACTTTATTTTTATGGATTATATGTTAGTTTGACAATTGTTTACCATTTGTTTGCATCATGTTGTTTTATTTAATAAGAATACTTATATTGTGCTTACAAGTTTAATACCTTTGAATAAAAGTTTTATTTTTATCATACTTTTTAATCTGTTTCTTTGGGATTTAACAAATGAATAGGCTTTAAATGGTGCGGGTATTGGAGAAATGGGTGTGGCCACTGAGGGGTGTGGTTAATGAGGGGTGTGGACACTAAGGGGCACTGTAAAACATTCTCGTGCAGTGCGCCTAAATGCCAAAGGTCAGCCCTGACTGCTGGGAATGACTAGTGGTCCAATGATATTCACCACCACTCTCTTATAAGGTTTGTCAATTACTTGCAAAGATTGCTATGAACCTGTGAACATCTCTTGCCTTGCCAACTTGCTGGCAGGTAGCACAAGACCAACAGTAGTTATCTATGTCTGTAAGTATGCTAGGCCAGGAAAAATTCTGCATCAGTGGGGCCTTGGTCTTCATGATTCACAAGGGACCTGCTAGGGAAATTTTAAGTGCCACCTTATCAAGGGTCCTCTAAATTTGTCAGGTACAATGAGCTGCCTTTTGACCGCTTCTACCTTACTACGTTCAGTTTGCAGATCCACCCTGTACAGCTTTCCATTGGCCCAGTTAACTTTTAATTTCTCTCCCTCCACTGACTTCAGTATGCAAAACTGGTGTCAAAGGTGTTCCAGCCAGCTATCCCATGATGAATGAACAGCAGCTGAGGCTAAACATAGAGTGGGATTCCTTGAGGAGTGTCTTAATAATCAGGGTCCGCAGTTTGTATCTGACTTGATGGAAGGACAAGATTGGTGGCCCTGAGGATTCACCGGTGGATTATGTTCTGAGGTTCTGGCATAAAATGGAGATGCTAATTTGGATGGTACAGGAGAACGCGA